ACTGAATCCATATGAATGTCTGCTCATGGCAGAAGCTGTATAGTGTTGATGATAAGGTGTTACAGATTCTACTTTGCAAGCTTTATTTATTACACAACCCCTGCCAGTAGTAAGTGGAGCTTTTACATTAAGGCAGGTGTTAGCATCTGACAGGATTAAAATATTGCTTACCTTTTGTAAAAGGTAACATTTGCTCTTTAAAGAATTTGTTTTCTGAGAATTTCAATTAAATCTGCTCACATTTAAGCAAGCTGATTTAAGATACGCAGAAAATTGGACAGAGCCTTGGGTTTGCTGTCATTTGCAGGAACAGCACAAAGTCTTTCAACTTACCACATCGTTAAGACTCACTAAGATCTTTCATATAGGATACATATGCAGACTTGGGGGGGGCGTCTTTTTTTTGTGCTCATCCTCATCACCTGGTTCTCACTGTGCTTCTCCTAATAATAGCTGGGCTATGGCACTGGCATAGGTTCAGGGCTAGATCCTGATGCCCTCAGGGATAAGTAGATTTCCAAAATTATCTATAGGAGTTTCTATAGGATAGCAGGCCCAGTTTTAGGTTGTGAACTCAATTCATTAGCTAGCGCAGCACCCAGCCTTCCCATATTCTTCGATTTTGTATGTCACCTGAGAAATGATGGCAAAGGAGGTGGCACTCCAGCATAGCTGAGGAGGGGAGGACCACATCTGCATAAATGCTTTTGTTGGGGCAGGCTGGGGTGTATCACAGATCTCATGGACCAGCTGCATCTAGAAGCAAGGACTGGCAGGAAAGGGGTGCTGGTCCTTTGAATGTGAAAGATCCGTTCCTGCTGGGAGATGTTGGATTTGAGTCCTTATGGTGCCACAGTCTGCTGGCACAGACAGGGGGATATGCTGGCCAGAGGGGAATACGCCAGGAGATTGGAGCCCAGCTTGAATTTTGGAGGTGCAGAATAAGAAAAGCTTGTGAATCAGGGCTGATGGAGGTAGGAAAGACAGAAGGAGAGAATGCTGTTCTGATCTGAGGTAAGGAGACTTAGACTTCAGATTTATGGAAGAGTACAGGATTTAGTGCATGATAAGGCATGACAGTGTTTTGGGATACAGTCCTAGGACTGAGAAACTTAATCATGGCTATTCTATAAAGCAGATTTTAGGCACTAGTATGACTGAGAGAGATGGGTGCCAAAATTGGGTCATTACTCCACGTATTCTTTCCAAAATCTACTCATTGAACTAGAACTCCCCATTGAACTGGGGAGAGTATGTGCTCAGGGAACTCCACTGGGAAAAAAGGAGGGGGAGTTAAAGCTGAAGGAACAGTTTCAGTATAATATATGTTGTTGCAATTTAGTTATTCTGCAGGTAGACATTACTCTCACAAAATTCAGTTAAAAACTATCTGACCATGAGTTACAGATTTAGGATACAAAGGTCAAAGAACAATGGTTCTAGCCATTTAATTACTCCAGTTCCATATGAGATTGCATGTAGCTTTACAAATAATCTCTTCTCCTTTAAAAATTAACAAACACACAATGTCTTTCCCTCAATTATTATCAATATTGCTAGTGCAAACTCTGACATACGTCCCATGTCTGTTTACCCTCCATGGTGTTGCACTAGTGTATAAGACTCCCTTTCTCGACAGTGGTAGGAGTGATGAGTGCTACAGAAGCAGATCTCCCTGGAGGACCCTCCAACATCAGGGAAAGTACTTCTGTGCCAGAAGAAAGCAGGCAACGACACAGGATTTGAAAGTGCAAGAGAACGGAGTGGAGGTGGGGAGTTTGGCTTTCTGTAAGGGTGGGAAAATGTTTTCTTTGGATTTCTTTCTTTAGGGATAAGAATAAAACCCTGTGATCTGTTTTGGAAAGGGGCAGGAATAAAGCTTGAGATAGCTGAAGCTGGACTTTTTTGCTGACTGGCAGCACTGAACTGCTTCCAAAATTCAGTTACCTAGAGACAGTAGAACTACAATACCAAATGCAGAGGGAGTCTTTCTTTCAAGAGGCTGTTGCACAGCATCCAGCTGGAATTTGGAAGTCATTTTACTGACAGATGATAATGGATTTCATTTTGAGCTTTGCCAGGAATCCTTATACCATTGGCTATTGACAGGAAAAAGCATTCGCCCTGCACATGCATGCATGTGGGAGAGCAGGCTGCGAAAGCATCTTTTCCAAAATGCAGGGCCTTGTAAGACTTCCCCCCACATCCCCCCCCCCCTCCCCATCCCCTTCCCCCTGTAAAATGAAGTTTGTGGAGACTCTTAAATGTAAACTGATTTGTATGTACAAAGGGAGTTTGATCTGTTCTGCATGTTACGCTTGTGATAAACAACAGAGGTTACACATATTTGTAACTCAGCTTGGTGGGAAATATTTGAGTGAAGAAAAACCAGTGAGTGGCCAGGCCAACACTAAATGCTAGATTCAGAGGAAGAAGATATAACTTGCTTTGATTTTTGGCCATGTTATTACACAGACAGGCTTAAATAGGCAAGGTCTATTGATCTGTGCATCAGAGGGCAGGCCTTGCCATGTGGTGGATGGACTTGATTGAATTGTCTTCACACTTGAGTTGTTCCCTTTCTCTCTGAGCATCCCTGCATGTTCTCACAGTTCAGCAAGCACTTAACTACCTTATCTTACTAGAATCTGAGAAGAGTTTATTGTATTGTATAATTATGGTTAGACCTTGGTGCTAGGAAAATGACAGGCACACCATGCCACACTCAGAACTACATTAATGTATTTACGCTCAGCTTAGCCTTTGTCCCTTTCAGGGCACATGCACTTACAACTTGCTGATGCAGAAATAAGCTTTCTAGATCCTAAAGCCAAGACAGATATTTGGTTTGCATCCACAAGGCCAATGCAGTCCATGTGGGAAGCTTTATGCAAATTATATAACCCAATATAGAGGCTGAGAAATAAATTATAAGGGATCATTTGGTGGCCAGAGCAGCAATTGTAGGCAGAGACCTCCTACATTCAGATTGGTATGAGAGAGTTCAGAGAGGCTGTGGAAACACATGGCAAAATCTGTGTAACTTGTGAGATGGTTGTAACCTGGGGGGTTGCAAACATCAAGCAAAAGCTGTTCCCAGCCCAGATGCTGCAGTGCTATGAAACAGGAAAGGAAAGAAAAGTGAGTTTTATGGTCTTCCCCTTCTTCATTTTTGAGGGAAAAGGACTGAACAGTGTTCTCTCTTCATATTCCTTGTTTCTTTTAGAAATGAATGGAATATGAAGGAGTGTTTTTCTTAGCAGTGCTGAAGGCCATGTTAGCTGCTCTACACAACCTTCTGGAAAGTGTTCTAAAACAGAAACAGCTTTCTGAAGCCATAAGTCAGGAAGCCTCCACATTTAAGAAGCATTTAAATCTTATGAAAGCAATATAAAGCAATTAAGTGTGTTCTTAAGGGCTCAAGCAAAGCGGACTCTCTGCTCACTTCTCAACTGAATGCGAGAAGTTGATGGTTCTTACTGCAAAGTATTTTTTCCAAGTATTTGTCAAGGATTTAAAATAAGCATTTAAAAACCAAAAAGCAAAAGAGAGATTAAAATTAATTCCCCCCTCAGTCAATTAAATACTTAAGATTCAAAGTCTTTACTAGTTCTTTAGTCAAATGCAGCCTTTCAGGAAATATCAGGTGGAGAAGACATGACTTTTACAAGTAGTAATGCCTTTCCATTCCCCACACTTTACTGGAGAACAAGTAAGTGTAAATGTTCTCTAAGTCACCTTAAAATAAAAGGTAACAAATGTTACTTCTTCCTGAAGGGGGTAAAGAGTATACCAAATTTTTACATATTCCTTCTATATTATTGTTACAAGTGTAGGCACAGAAGTATTTTACTGTGTCTCGCTGTTCCACGGTACTAACCATGCATGCTTTCTTACCCTGCTGTGTAAATTCAGAATACACAGGCTTGTATTCTGCCCAGAGAAAGGCAAGCAACCTTTAGTTTACACAGAGTATTATTCAGACTTGCCAGTGTATCGTAAATTCATGGCTTTGGCAACTCCACTTACATATTCACAAACAAGGGGTTTTTAATAAGCCAGAAAAGCCTGACTTTATGATTTTTAGGTTGCCACTCTCTGAAAATCTCAACATAAATGTTCTTGTCATGTGCATAGTCATCACAGATAGGCCTATTAACTCTTGCACTAATAGTAGACACAATTTTGTTACATGGAAATGTCAGGCTTACATCTGCACACTTCTTTTTTTATGCAGGAGGCACCCCAAACTGTGTATTGTCTCTCTGGATCCTCAGTTTGCCTATTCCTCTCATCTGCAGCTTATTGGTAGAGTTGAATTACATTCAGTTTTGCCAATACAAGTTTTAAGATTGCAGCAACTTTTATCTTTTAGGTATCAGAAGGAAGCTGAAGGTTTTCAGATGGCCCAGGGACACCTCGGTGTTTTTCAGTTCAGACCATCTGGAAGAAACAAAGGCTGTAGTTTCCCAATATTTGTAATTTGTCTCTTTTGTCTTTTGGAGGATTTAACCAAGAGTGTTTCAGTGATCTAGTTTACAGCTTGGAGTGCAAGCATCTCTGGCAGCACAACTGAACAGACAGGAACAAGAAGCCAAACAGGAGACGTCTCTAGCTGACTTTACTACTGGAGAGCATGTATCAGGACTATACACTAGGACCCTTTGTGATAAAGAATAAATACAATTTCTTTCTCTCCTTTGTTTGGGAGAGTGGTGAAGGTAACTTTAAATGAACTGGTATGAGCCCCTGGTCATTGGCTGCCCTACTTCAGCTCAACTTGCTATCTGCTACAGCATGTCATTATGCAAGTTATCAAGATGCATTTACTAAGGCAGCAAGCAGCAGAACAAAGCAATTTCCTTCAAATAATATTTATGCATCCAAGCAAACACACAACAAATACAAACAGGCTAGTTCATGGTTCTCACAGCCGTTGTTCATGTTCTCACAGCTGTTTGTAGCTGACATCAGTCTTGCTAGTTTTTAAACTAACAAACCTGAGCATACCGATCCAAGTGTGGGCATCATTAGGCAGCTGTCATCGCCCATGGACATCCTGGTAGTGCATATTTCCAGCCATACCATCAGAATCTGGGTGCACAACTCTCTACCATTGGTCCTCCTGAAGCTTTCATCCAGCCCTGAAAGCTGAGCCGTGAAAAAGAAGAAGGGTGGTTCACAGTAAGGATATTTCTTTGGCACTATTATCTGTGCCTTCTGCCCTGCACCTCTGCCCTGTTGTTCAGCATCGGCTGGTGACCCTGCCCTGTTCCTGTGCTCTCTTGTTGCACCTCAGCAGGCACAGGCTGCATATCCAAAACTTCAATGAAGAACAAGGGCACGGTGGAAATGTCGCACTGCCTGTTTCTGTGAACAACTGAAGTCTGATTTTTTTTTCTGGACAACAAAAGAAAAACTCAAAAGGAGAAAAATGGACACCAGCCAAGAAACAGGGTGGGGGGAAATGTTTATGGGTGTTGGCAAATCTACTGTGCAGCTTTCCCATGTTATAAACTACATCACTGTCTGCAAACCCAGGGAAGATAGCCTTCTGCAAACTAAGATGATGTGAAGCTTGCCTGTTACGTCCCCTATGAAATTCCTACTTCTCCACTAAAACCGTGTAACCAAAGGTGGTTTTATTCAGCACACACACTAGGTCGGTTTCATCCCATACTGAAATTGACTAAAGCAACAATGCACTGCACAACAAGGTTTTAAGGCTCTGATGAAATGAAACTAAAGATTTGGAGGCTCCAAGCAACCCCGGTCGGTAGAAGGGGCTGGGGGAAGGGCAGCATGTGGTTTGGGGTATTTTCACCAAATGTTAAATCACACAGAATATTTCACTCGTCTCCAGTGTGAGATCACGACATGACTCCTTCTGTAATGAATTCTTTATCTTGGCAGCTCTCCTGCTTTCTCCCAACTGTGCCTCCCTCTCCCCTTCTGGTCCCGGCACTGTAACATATGGTAGTGTTTGGGAAGTGATTTCGGCCTGGGAGCAGGCTGCCTGCCCACACCTGCGCTCGGGTCATGCTCCAGACCCGCGGCACCACCTCCCTCCCCAGGCACACCGATAGCCGCCGGTGCCCGGTTTCGCACAGCCCTTGAGGTGTCACATTTAACTCGTTGGCTATGGGACCGGAGTAGAGGTCCCAATCCTTCCCGTGCAGCCCCACCGGAGCCTCGCCTTTAGGCATCCATACAGGAGGCGGCCGTAGCTGCCCTCCGGGCGGCACACCACGATGCCAGTATCCGAAAACCAGCGCAGCTCCTGCCGCCCCTACATAAACCCCGGTACCGCTCCGCTGCAGCGGCCCCTGGCTTTGCCTCGGAGCTGTTCACCCGGTACTACACGAGCGGCCCCGCCGGTCGGCGCGGCCGGAAGGCGGCGCCCAGCAGGAGCCAGTCGCTAGGGCGACGCGTGGGAGCCGCCTGCCGCCCGCACCGCACCGCCATGGCACCGAGGCGGCCTAAAACCGATGCGGTCGCGCCGGCAGTGACCGTGGGCAAGAACTGGGAGGCCGCGCTGGTGTCCGCCCACCTCGAGGAGGTGAAGGCGGCCGAGGGGCGGGCGGGCCCTGGGGCTTGAAGGTGGGGGGGGATATGAGGGCGGAGGCAGCTCTGACCGCTCTGCTGGCGTGGTGGTCGCAGTGCAGCTGCTGGGGGGCCGGTGAGGTGCCCCCACGGCGAGCGGAGCAGACCCAGCGTGTTTCTTGCTTTCCCTCCTCGGTGCTTCTCTTTCTGGGGCTCTGGGTGCCAAGTTTCGGCTCGGAGTGAACTTTCCATAAACTGCTGAACAGCGAGGTTTGATGGAGGTGCTGACACAGCATTAACTGTAGCGTTGAAAATGGGAGGCTGTAATTTTCCTGCTTGAGTGTGTGCAGCTAAAAGGCGCTTTTTCCCCTTTTCCTTTATTTTCTTTTACAGCCTGCAAGGATCTAAAGGCATGTTTAGGTTTCCAGGTTCTGTGTAAGCGATGTAATTCTAATAAATCCTGACTTGCAAGAGAGAGTTTGGTTTGAAAATAGGGTAGGAGTTTAGCAAACAATAATATTTACCTCGTGGGTGTTTACCTAGGGCTGCTTCTGCAAGTGAGACAAATGACTTCCATGGCTTCCTTGTGCCGTGGGTTCTGTTATGCTCTGTTAAAAAAGGGGGTGTTTTTTCTTGTTGCTGTGGTTTCAGTTGGTTTTTTCTTTGTTTTTTTAACATGCCAGCAGCTCCGATTGAAGCACGAGGAACTCTGCATTCAGGAGGAGGCTTTTAAGCTGGCTAATTGGTTGCCACAGATGTCCAAAAATCTCTTAAATACTGAGTTGCTTTTACTTTCATTTGGTTGTAACTGTATAGTATAAGTTTAGCCAAAGAAAATCACTTTTTGAGGTAAGCTGCTAAGGCCGTTGTTTCCTTTCTTCTCCCTAGAACATAGATTTTTCAGTAGGACTCAAAGGTGCTTGAGCCGTTTCTTGCTTATGAATCTCTCCCATACCTTAGGAGAGCCTCCCTGAAGCATGAGAAGGGGATGGAGGTTTAGTCTCCATCACCTCCTTAGTTCCTGGCCTTTCTCCCATGCTTACTAGCATAGCGAGGTGCCAATTAGTGATATTTTTTCTTTATGGGGGTGTTTATTGTGGTTGTGGATATTGACCAGTGAATTTGTAGAACAAAGTGCTTTGTTTGCCCTGCTGCTGCTGTTTGAAATTTATTACGTTTGGTAAATGCAAGCCATTGTACTGAAGTATTTTAAAAGGTAGGAGATAAAATGTTCAAAATGCCAGAATTAGGATTATTCAGGACCATGCATTGAGGCAGATGGAAAGAAATGTTGAAATGTTTACTGAATAGGGCAAGAATTCTGTAAGGGGGGAGGGAGGGGAAATGTGATCACCTAATTAAAGATTATCATAATGCCTGTACCCATGGGGACTGAATTCAGATTCCTTGGTTCCTTAATTCTCTTACTGTCCACCTCTTTTCTGTTCCAGTTAAGCTAATTGCACTTTCTCTGTCTTGCTGTAGCAGCAGTCTTGGGAGCATGGGCAAAACTGTCTCTCTGCTGCAGTCAGCTTGAGCTCAGGCTTCTTTGATGCTGAGCAGTCACTAACATTTCTTATTGCAGGAAAAGTCTTATTCAGCTCTTACAGTCATGGGCACGAGCTCGGTGCAAAACTGGCAAATGCCAGCAAATCTGTTATGAGTAAGGATTCTGTGACTTGAGATTCATAAAGTATGGCCAAATGTGGGTATACTTAATGTAAATAAACGTGCTCTGTGAAAGCACATCTTTGCCACGAGTATGGCTGAGCTGCCAAATTTAACTTCTTCCTCTTGAACACAGAGGGAATTGAATATCTTAATAACTTAATCACATGGGGGGGGTTATTAAAGGGTAAATGTGGTTGTTAAAAATCAAATCTCATTGTGCAAATAGTCCAGCCATACTATCCCTACCCTACCCTGCCCTGGTACTTGTATAGCATGCGAGATTTAAACTTGAATATATAAAGCTTAGGAACTAAAAGCAGCCTGTAAAAGAGAGTATTGAGCATCTTTAATTCTAGGTGTCATCAGACACAGTGCACACAATTATTTCTTACTCCTGCTCGATATTGTATGCAATATACCATATGAATCTGAAATTACTTGGGAGATGACAGGAACTCCTATCAATTAATTAAACAAATTTCTCCTTGTGATTCATGTCTAAAGAATTTTAAATCTTTTCTTGTGTCAATTTAGAGAGTATTCTTTCCCTTTAGTGGAGTCAAACGGAATTTACTAGAACTGGTTTTAAATTGTACCAGATAGACAGAGCAATGAAATTTCACATTTTAATGTGTGTTTATGACTTGCAATATTTTATTAGTCTGATCTATGAAAAGGAGTCATTTTACCAGTGGTGTTAAGATTTTATGGACGGGAATGCTAACTAAAATATGATTTAAATGGTATTTACTAACCAAATAATTGCTTTTACTAAACACACTGTAAAAACTGGCAAACAGACAGCTTAAAACCATGTACAGAGGAAATATGGATTTTGCAGAGCCCCACATTATAGTTTATATAAATTGCGTTGTTTGCAGTGTGCTACACAGAAGAACATGGGTCTGCAAGCTGTATTTGCCGCCAGATATTAAGATATTTTGATTGGCTTCACTGCAGGATTAAGTTACAAAATACAAATTAAAATTCTTCATTTGAAACTTTGCATGCTTGAAGTAGTTCAGGAGTGATGTTTGCTAAGGGAAAGTTAAATTCTGGGCAAATACAGCCCTTGATTAAAATAACTGCTATCTATCGTGTGTTCTTGTTATCTAATATAACTACTCATAGCACCTGGAAGCCACGTTCTGCTCAGACCTTCCATCCGTATAGTTTCTCTCAGTTTACTGGCATTTTAGGGCCTTCAAATTGAACTGAAAGTCAGCCTTGTAAAACCATTAAAAATGTACTAAATGTGGTGGCTTCACTTTTCATAACTATTCATATTGCTGAAATTAATATTCAACTGAGCTTTGATATTCTTTAACCTGCCCAGATTATACAGCAAAAGCTCAGTGTCTTAAAATCAGAATCCCTTAAATCTGGGTGTATGCCAGTCAGCAGATAATGAAAATGGACTTGCAGGCTTCTGAGCAGTGGTGCCCTACACAGTCACTATGTTACAGCTACAGAATCCCTAAGGAGCAACCTCTCCCAGCAATGCCAGGGGGTTGGAACTAGATAATCTTAAGGTCCTTTCCAGCCCTAACCATTCTATGATTCTGTGGTTTACTGATTTGCAAGCTCACCCCATTGTTGAAAGCAAAGAGTGCTAGATGTAATATTGTCCTTAGCGTTCAGAAATCACTGATTAATCTCATGATTTCTGAGGAAACAGGAGATTAAAAACCTCTTGCTGTTTGGTGCTCAGATGCTTGGAGATTCAGTTTTCAGCTGTTTCTCTTCAGCTTTTACAGTTAAATTTGAAACTGTGCTGCAGTGAAATGAAGCTATTAGTTGTGAGCCTAAGGAAAAAAACCAACACAAAACAACAAAAAAGCAAAACAAACAGAACAAACCAAGTAGAAACTAACCAACAAAAAGCCAAAGAAAACCTCACCATTAAATACTATAAGCATAAGTTATGCTGCAAAATGATGGTTACTTAGATTGCTTGGAAATGGCTGGGGGGGGCGGGGAGGGGGGTTGTTTGATGTCTGCTTGATGCTTTTCCTGGGCAGAAATCTAGAAACTGGTACTGCAGAAATAAGCAGTATAGCTGACTTGTTCAAATGCCTTGTCTAGAGCTGCTGCCCTTTTGTGCTAGGAAATGAAGCAGAGAAAGCGAGATGTGTTTAAGAAGGAAACAAAATTTTGCAAGCTACTGTTGGTTGTTGTTTTTTTTTTTATCCAGTGTGAAGCTGGATTTCTTTTTTACCATCCCCTTGATATTCCCATAGCTCTGTGGCAAATAAGAGATGTAGGCTCTGTGTACTGGTCTTTAACAGTTGGGAAAAATCACATTACAGAGGGACACAATGAAGTCTTGACAACTAAGTCAGGAGAAGATGAGACACCTTGTGTGTTTTGTGAAAACAAGGAGTTTGGAAAACTGCTAGTTAGGGGGTCTTGCTGGGATTGGAGCCTCTTCACCTGAAGGACATACAAGCTCCCCACATAGCTGGTTATTTCTAACACAGGGGAAGACTTCAGTGCATTTCAACTCTTGCCGTGGCTAAGAGTTTTAAAACGGGGTGGTGACAGTGTCATGTGTGACAGTCATTGTCACTGGATGTTTTACAGTGAGAGTGGTCTGGCCTCCCCTTAAGTGGAGCTTGGTGCAGATTGTTTAAGGAGTATTCGGTTACCAACACCATGTTTCCAGCTTCATTTTTTCTCCCTTTGGTGCTTGAATCAGCATTGTTGATTCTGTGGGCTGTCTACTCCCTGCATTTTGGTTGTCATTTTTCACAATACGTAGTGCTTGGGCTATAGTCTGGATGGCAGCGTCCTTAGGCTGTTTCCATGCTTTTCAGTAGTTATTTTTGTGTACTTTTAAGCTGGGAACCTCAACTGAGGTAGCCTTAGGGTCCCTAATCTATCCTC